TAATTTGATTGAATCAAAACTTGCACTAACCATATTTTCTTTATCCCACACTTCTACACAACGAACTCCTTTTGTATGTTGAGTTAGTGTTTTCATGCATTTACCAGCAATGATATCCCACATTCTAATTGTACTATCTGCAGATGAACTAATAAGGTGTGGCGATTCTTCCCTCATCTTCAAATCATAAATTGTTGATGTGTGTCCTTCAAGAACATCAACTGATTGTTTTGTCCTAATGTCCCACAACCTTACAACAGAATCTCTTCCACCTGATCCTATAACATCTATTGTTGGGTGCATGTCAACAACTTCAATTCCAGATAAATGACCATGGAAATGTTTGACAACTTTATTTGATTCTAAATCCCAACACTTAATTGTTTTGTCATCACCAGCAGAAAATAAGTATGGGTGTCTGGGAGAAACTTTCAGTGATTTCACAGCTCCAATATGCCCTGTTAATGTCAGTCGTTGTTCACCTCGGATCATACCAAATATTTTGATCGTTTCATCATGTGAACCTGTACAAAACCATTGATTCGATGGGTCAAAACAAATTGATGAAACCCAACCTTTATGACTACAAATTACTCGTTTTAGTTTCCATTGAATCACATCTGTTGTTTTCTGTTCTTTGCTGTCTTTCTTAACTAACATATACTTTGAACAATATAGATTTTTTTTTTTTTATAAATATTTGTTATTTCTTAAGCAACTCTCATTTTTTTTATCATTTATATCTTGATAAATTTGACTAACAACATCCATCGATTTAATCTACAATTTCATTTGCTATGACAAAGTGGAAGAAAGAAAATAGGGAATAAAGTTTGTAAATATATTTTCATTTTAACGTTTAATTTTCATTGAGTGAAAAAGGTTATAATTATTTAAATTACAAGGAACAAGTATTGTTTTTCTAAATTAAAATAGGAATATAATAAAGAAGAATTATAAAAATAACATTCCAAAAGAATAAGTTAAAGAGTAATAATACAAATTATCAAATTATAGACATTGTTTATATTTCTGATATGTTAGTATTTTATTTATAAAGATTAAATTTATGATATTTGTTATGTATTAATGAGTTGAAATAATTAAAGTTAGTTAATCGAATATTGATTTTTGATAAAACGAGAGAATACCTGATAATTGAAGACAATATTAAATAAGTAAATGTTATATGAAAGAAGTTATATTATTTAATAATTCATAATAATATTTTTCACTAGAATGTTAATTAAAATATACAATATTAAATCATTTATAAATTCTTATTTTACTTCTTCTTAACCATATATTTTTATTGTTATTGAATAATTATTCAAATGTATTGATTTTGTTTAAATGACAAGCTACCTAGTTTCTCTATTTTATTAAAAAAAAAGATTAAAAAAGATGTAATTTAATCAAAGTCTATTTCTTTCAATAATGCTAAACAAAAGTGTAACAATTCAATTGAGTATTTCAATAATTAAACTATTTAAATTTAATAAATACAAATGGTACTGCTTTTTTTGTAATATTTCTTCTTGATTCTTGACAAACAAGGATCTTCTTTTGTTATCTTCAATTTTTTTTCGATCATTAGATATTAGATTATTTCACTTCTTTATTCATTTTTGAATAGAAACTTAGAATGACTATCATTAACTGGTGTTTTTATTTTAATTATGTTTTATAGATAATAATATTAGATGATTCTAACTACAGAAAGAGTATGTTTTCTAATAAATGAATTCTAAAATCATTTCTTTTTTATTAACTTCTTCTTCTGATAAAGTCCATTATATTATGATATCTTGTTGAGTATTTCAAATCTTAAACAATTTATAAAATATTTTTGTTAGTTTCGTAAATTTAAGAACAGGAGGTGATAAAATAATACAAAAGACTGAAAGCTTTTTCACTCAAAATTGTTTTTTTTTACAACACAATCAAATGCTGTTTTTAACGTTTGTGATGAATCACTTTTTGTGATGTGATATAATAAAAAT